CTCCTCCTCCTCCTCCGCCGCCGCCGCCGCCGCCGATTGTTAAGTCGTTGAAACCAATTGACCTCTGTAAATTCGATTGTTCCTTCGCTTTGCTTGTAGATTCAGAATTTAACGAAGTAGATGCTAAATTGGACGGGAAAAACCGTGAAGGACCAAGGTTTGAGTGATGAGATCCATGAGAAGCGAACTCGTGATTACCGTTAACGACGGATTCAACTGCTGTAGTTAAAAATGATCCCGGAGCTGAACCGTAGCGAGTGAGACCACCGCCGCCGCCAGCGGTGGTGCTGGTGTGGCTCATTGAACCTTGTGATGAAGAAGATGTTGATGATGGATACATTTGAGAATTGTTTTGAATTGGATTGTTAAGATTTGGAGGTTGAGAACTTAATAGAGAGAGAGGTGGGCGGGTGGGGTGAGGGGGTAAGAGGGAAGAGCAAGTTGGGAATTAAAAAAATGATAAAGTGCTACACTTGTTTGATGAAAAGTCTTGTGAGAAAGAGAGTGGATCAGCCAATGGGGTTTTGTTGTTTTTGTGATTTTGTCTTTACCGTTTTTTTTAATAGAAAATTAATATACAATGTGTACTACATCCTATCCTACTAAATTATTATATTTATAATTTATCTGTTTCAATTTATGTGACACGTTGTCGTTATTAGATCATGTCGTGAATTATTATTTTTATCTAGAGTGTAAGTTTAATAATGTAATTCATGAAAAATAATGCATGAGTTATTACAAAGAGATGAAGTTTTAAGTATTTTGAATTTTGAATTCATAATTCAAGAGAACGAGGAGATGGATCACGATGTGGTATGTTTTGTGTGATAAGAATATGTAGTAGAGTTTTAAAGGTAAGTTACAGAATACTGGTTAGATCGACATTGTTGTATTGGGAAGAGGGGTGGCTAGCTAGTCAAGAATACCCACGTTTAGAAGAGTGGTCGTGTGGGCATACTATGAGGAATATGATTAGGAATAAAGTTATACGGGGAAAGATGGGGTGTGGGCATACTATGAGGAATATGATTAGGAATAAAGTTATACGGGGAAAGATGGGGTGTGGGCATACTATGAGGAATATGATTAGGAATAAAGTTATACGGGGAAAGATGGGGTGTGGGCATACTATGAGGAATATGATTAGGAATAAAGTTATACGGGGAAAGATGGGGTGTGGGCATACTATGAGGGATATGATTAGGAATTAATAAAGTTATATGGGGGAAATATGTGAATGACTTTTGCGACAATCAAAATGAGAGAAGTGAGATTGAGATGGTTCGAACATGTGAAGATGGAGCGTGCAGATATGTCGGGTAGGTGGGATGAGAAGTTGACTATAGCAGGAGTTAGTGGATGTAAAAGTAGGTTGAAATTAAAGGAACTAAAGGGAGGTGATGATCATAGCTAGTACCAACATAGGAAAGTTTGGAGATCGAAGATTAAGGTAGAAAGTTAGTAGATATCCAAGTTATATTGTCGTACTAAATGTATGGGAGAGAGGTGGGGCCAGTCTTCTCCTTCCCTCTTCTCACTTTTAGGTAGAAAGTTAGTAGATATCCAAGTATTTTGAATTCATAATTCAAGAGAACGAGGAGATGGATCACAATGTGGTATGTTTCATGTGATAAGAATACGTAGTAGAGTTTTAAAGGTAAATTATAGAATAGTGGTTAGATTGACATTGTTGTATTGGGAAGAGGGTGGCTAGATAGTCAAGAATATACCCGCGTTTAGAAGAGTGGTCGTGTGGGCATACTATGAGGAATATGATTAGGAATAAAGTTATACGGGGAAAATATGTGAGTGCCTTTTGCGACAATCAAAATAAGGGAAATGAGATTGAGATGGTTCGAACATGTAAATATGGAGTGTGCAGATACATCGAGTAGGTGGTATGAGAGGTTGACTATAGCAGGAGCTAGGGGATGTAAAAGTAGGTTGAAAAAGAACTAAAGGGAGGTGATCATAGCTAGTACCAAGATAGGAAAGTTCGGAGATCGATGATTAAAGTAGAAAGTTAGTAGATATCCAAGTATTGTCGTACTATATGTATGGGAGAGGTGGGGCAAGTCTTCTCCTTCCCTCTTCTCGCTTTTAGTAATAGTATTTAATAATCATGTAGTTTCTTATTCTTTTATGTGTATACTATCGATCTCTTACTGCATTTGCTTGTATCTTCCTATTCAGTTGTCATATTTTCTTGTCATCCTGCTTTGATCATAATATTCATTTTGTAACGAAGGTCTATTCATACAATCTACTCTCCATAGACACATACTTTGCCTAATTAACCGGCCCCTTCCTCTTCTACATTGGTTGTTTCATTTGGCGGGTCCTCACCGGGTCGATCCGAACAGGTGCAGGCCTGACCCGGCCTCAATCCATAATGTTCAACTTGCTGCTCAATGTGGTGTGCCAAAGCATCCTGTACAATGCATGTGAAGCAACACTATATAGTACTATACTAGCAATTGCACGTATATATACTCAAGTCACGAGAAGTTTGTTGTATTCCACAAGGATTTGTAGAAAATAGTATTATAGTAATTATCTTTTTATTAATGATTTAAATATTTATAAGACATATAAAAAGATAGTGATTAAAAAAATTATTTAACATTTAACATTTGAAATTTGAAAGATGTCTCATAAATTAATACGAAGAGAGTATTATACTGTCAATGTTATGATATTATTGGTCGAGAAATGAATTGGTCCCATTAATTAAGTGTTTTGATGGCATATATACAAGTAGGTTAATAAGTGTGCATGCATATTGCTACTTTACAAAGAGGGAAGTATATATTAAATTAAAAGGAGTAATAAACAAAGCTAATTTAGTCAAATAATCCTTTAATTAATATTGTGTACAAAATAAAATATGACAAATAAAGTGGATTAGAGAAAGTATAACTTTTGTAATTTAAGAAATATTCTATTTAATATAAATTATATAAAGTCACTAAACTATTTTTCATAATTAAAAAAAATCATCATTTGTAAATTTTAGGATTCTACTAATAATTATATATGACACTTTGATTACTTCCTTGATAAATAATTAGAAGATTAATTATCTTTTATTTTTTCATGTTGAATAGTTCTTTCTTTTTCATGTTCATATGCACTTCTCCTAGAACATAGTATGTCCTGTGTATTATATTTGTATTGACCATGTCAAGTATTTTTATTATTATTTTAGGTATTGACATTTCCTAGCTAGTGTGAAAATTATTATTTTTTCTGAAAAAATATTTATTAGTCTATCTCAAAAAGTCCTATGCTTTCCTTATTTGAACACTAATATTTTTTTTATACATAAATTTAAACACTATAGTTTATAATTTAGAAAAAAAGTATACTCCAGAAAGTCATATGCTAACTTTATTTGATGTTTTGAACCTTAAATACTCAATTACCAAACCTCAACAGGCCAAACATACCCTTATTCTCATAAATATGCCCACAGAGATTAGAAAAGAAGAAGAAAAAAATTATTAATTGCTTATCATAGAAACTTACTAATTCTAGCTTATATTATTGGTAAAAAGAATATCCTTCATTTAAATCTTCTTGTTTCATTCAAATAAAAAAAAAAATAGAATATTCTATATTATAATTGATAGTTGATGACCTATATCGCTATACGTAAGTACTAACCATTCTTTTATACAAACCCGAGTTCAATGACTAGACGATTTAAAATTTAAAAAACCAAATCATCCAAGTTGTACCCTTATATATTTTTATTTTTTGGAGTGTCTGATTGTTATCACAATTTTCTAACTCTTACGTCGATTGAATAGCTATATTGTACAAATAAGGGTTCTAAATAGCACAAATTTCAACCCTTTTCCCACTATTTTCTCTTAATAATAATTTATTTCAACTCTCACATCGATTCAACAACTAGATGCATGTATATGACCTAATTAAGTGTACTAAAAATTGCACAAGTTGCACCCTTTTCCCTTTAAGAATATGACTACTATAATTGGAAGGTTATAATTTATTTTAATAAAAGAAGGTTTAATTTTTTAATTTTTTATTCCCACCTCGAATGAATAGATGGATGATAGGCAAACTAGGGTTCAATTATATTAATTTACAAGTTGCTTATAACTTCCTCCCTTTTCCCCACATAATTACAAAAGAAATCAATCTTTTTTATATATAAAATGTTCATATTTAAGATTATATATTAGGTTAAAACAATGGATATTATATCCACATAATTAATTAACGCGAGTGGTTTTGATTAATATGTGATGTTCGAGGCGAGTCAGGATTTTAATTTTATGGGTTTTGGATTATAGAATAACGACTTCAAGTAATAATAATTGAGCTTTAAATCTAATATGAATATATATTTAATGAATTTCTTCACACAAATGTATCGTTTATACAAAAACTATTGGGTTCAATTGAATCTGTATTTAAACTTCTAGCTCCATCCTTGCGTAGTGTATACGTTTTGTTTTATGAAAGTAAGTAAAGATCCATTGAGTTTCACATAAAAAAAGAAGAGTAAAGGGTCAAAACACAACTATAATATTTTGATTTTTTTGAGTTTTATATCTAAACTATCCGGTGTGTGAGTTTTTCATCTAAACTATCATCAACTATTTATCAAAACAAACCACAACTATCAGTTGCTCCCGAACGATGATGATATTTCAATAGAAAAGAGATTCAAGCTAAGTGATAGTTCAAATAGAAAACTAGCATACAAATAGTTCAGATATAAAATTCGAAAAAATGAGATATTTTAAAATCATATATTTTTTAATCCTAAGCTCTAAAAATAAGAATTACATTTCAAAAGCTTGTTAGTAATTTATCATATAGTTTTAATTGGCCAATAAGAAAAGTTTCCTCTGATTGGTCACTAAAAGTCTACCAAAAGCTAAAAAAAATTGCAGGGAGAAAAGCAAACAAAGGGAATGGAATCAAAGGCCAAACAGGTTCTTAATATATATGGACCAGCTCTTTATTCATTCAGTGGGCAATAAACTGCACAGTTTTGACAATTTTTGCCACTTGGGGTACCAACCTGACATATAGTTTATTCATGCTCGATATTTATATATTTTATTACAAGAATCCTAAATTAAAATAAAAATATGCATAAGATCAAGAACTATCGATTGATGTTGGACCAATACTTAATATGAGCTAATTTTTCATGTTCAATCTGCTTTTTGGGAAATTTTTAATATGAATTTTTACTTGTTCAGATAACTTAAAGTTTCTATCAATTGATTATATATATACCTAAAAACAAGATAAAATTCTAGTTGTATCTTTAGTAAGTTGATTTTTTGTATTGATCCAATTCTTGTTGAAGTATTTCAATTTGTTTATCTTTCTCAACAACACTATCCATCAATCTTTTATTTTCTTCTTTCAATTCTTCAAATTGACAAACAATTTCTTCAATTTGTGCTTCAATTGCTTCATCACTTAACTCAAAAGCACTTTCAACAACTCTAACAACTCTCCATAAGCTAACAACAAGAAGTAATCCTCCTCCGTTTTTTTCCAAATAAGCTTCCAAAAATAATGCCACCATAACCACTATGCCATCTAGCAAGTACCCTGGTCTTCGAAAAAACGCGCATCCTAGACCTACAACAAGGCCTACACTCTTCAGAAATAACAATCCCAAGATCCCTATACCTGTTCGGAACATAGAAAGATGGAATTGAATTAAAGCTTTGAAGCGTGAAAAATAATATCTTCTGTAGAAATGTTGCATGTATTTATAAGGGCCAACAAATAGGAAAGTCAAGAAGAAGAAAGAAGAAAAGTAACTAAAATTTAAATACAATTGTAAATTGTGACTATGTTTTAAATAGCACAATTAATTTTAAGTTAGGAAACAACAAAGCTACATATATCTCTATCGTAAAAAACATGAATTAGCTATAAAATTTGTCGCTAAATAGTTGTAACTAATAAGATTAAAATATAAAGGCTTTCAAACTCATTTTCTTCCTTTTGATACAAGAAAATGTTACTTCATATATATTACAAACTATCTAATATTACCTGCCCAATGGTACCAAACCTCTTCCGTTTCTTGATTTATAGCGTTCCGATTTTGCGGGCAGGATATCAAAGATGAAGAGAGATCAAGACTTGTGAAAACAAGATCGATTATGAGTAACACAATGGTGAAAATTCTAAGAGGTGTGGATTCTAAAAACTTTGTTAAATTTGTTCTCCATTGTTGTTTTGTTGGTTGTTGTGAAGGATTCATGATAAAGAAATTCCATCTTTGCTTTTTGTCCCAACTTTTTATGAGATTTTGAATTGATATTTCAACACTTTGGATTTGTGTGGAATTTGATGGTTGAATTTCTTGAGAGTTCATTGATGATTTTTTTTTTTTTTTTGGGGGATATAATCTCTTTTTTTTTTAGTTGTTGTGTATTTGATAATCGAAAATTTTGAATTTAATAATAAGAGTCGTTTGAGAGAGGCACGTGAAATGCAAGGCTTAGATTTTTCATGCAAGCTTTGCTTTGGAGTCACGTTATTAGTTTTAGCTACTTCTTAGAGTGTGTTTGGTTGAAGAAATTTTTTTTTTTCTGTGTGTTTTGGTACGTAACAAAAAATATTGTCCCAAAAATAATATTAGTGTATAATTAATTTTGGCAAACACTATGTGTGGATCGATGGAGGACTGGAGGGTGGGTGGGGAAGTGTTGGCCGTAGGGGCGCTATGGGGTAGGATAGCTTGTGCTGAAAGGCAGAGAGCAAACAATCAATGTGGAATGTCATTCGTGAATCTTGTTTTTTTTTTTCTTTGTGCAATGGACTAATATCTTTTTTAGAGAAAGTATTTTTCAAAAAATTTGAACCAAACATGAAATTGTTTTTTTTCTCCGAGCCAAACACACCCTTGATTTGGTTTCTTCTATTTCAGTTGGAAATGCGTTAAGGATCGTGAAGCTGCCCAAGTTGTTTCATACTTATATGGCTTAATGTAAGAAAAGTTGGTGCCAAAATTAAAAAGAACAATTAAATGTGATGTCATAGGTAGGTTTTGGCATCGTAATACGTAACTGAAAATTCACTTCTTAAAACTATATCATCATTTACAAAATTAAATAACTCTGCACTTAATGATGAGTTCTCACATCGATAGAAAGATCGATGAATACATTCTTTTTTTTTTCACCATCCTAACGTCTCATAATTGTTAAGGTTCTACGATGTGCGCATTTTATCAGGATGATATATTGTGATGGTGTGATGTATTTGTGTTGGTGGCAATGGCAGAGCTACCTTATGCAAAGAGGTGTGAATTAACACCCGTTCTCATGTTGAGAATTTCCACATCGATAGCTAGGGATGTGAATATTGGGGTTTGTTACAATCATGTCATCTCGTATTGGGCTTGCTTAGTTAGAATTGGACATTGGAATGTTGATGGGCTTGGCCCAAAAATATTAGTTGTAGGAAAGCAAAACAACACGAGATATATCTACAGTTAGTTTCAAGATTTAAATTCAGAACTAGAACAAACGTTAGAGAAAATTACTAAATTTTATCAAATTTGAATTACGTTAATTAGGTACGCAATTTTGCTACTAAAGTGATGGTTTAAGATGTATACCGGAGGGGAGCCGCTTCCGAATACATCGCAACTTCCCAATCGATGAAAAACTTAAATATAATATTTAATATAAATTATAAAATTTTAAAATATCAATTATACTCAAAACGAGTAAGTTAATAAAATATTTATCTAAACGTCACACATCACAGTCCATAAGAAACAACATTTGTCACAAGTTAAGAGAACAAGTCATGAGGAGGAGTAGAAAGAGTCAGCTTTCAAATTACCCAAACATAAGACACCTGTACTGCCACGTAACCAGTGTATCACCACGTGTCATGCCACGTGTTAGTCTGCATGCTAGTCATATTCCTATCTATAAGCTAGCTGCCTCTTCTTTCTAGGCCAAAAATAAGTAAACAGATCACCACAACAAAATACTTTACTATAATTTTGAATTTATTTGAGATTTTAGAAAAAAAAATGGAAGGAATAAATGTATCGACTCATCCAGATGTTCCAGGTGAACCTACGCAAACAGGAACAGCAATTCTTGAGACTGCAACAGCTACCATTCAAGGATTTGGTCCTATCAATAAAATTCATCAACATCTTTGCGCGTTAAGTTTCACTTATCTCTTGTTCTATAATTTATCATTTTTTTTTGTTATTATAACTAAATTTACAGCACTGTGTACGCTAGCGGCGGATTTAAAAATTTTAATAATTAGCTAGATCATTTGAAACACGAGAATTCAATAAAATGTGTATTTTACTAAGGTATTTTTATTTTTTATCCGATGTTTTTTAGAATTGATTCCTAACTATACTAGGGTTATAGATGGAAATAATTACTCCCTCTGTCCCAATTTATGTGGAACTTTTTGTTTTTCGAGAGTCAAACAGTTTAAGTTTGATCGAAAATTTGCGCATAGAATCTTCAATTTCAAAGTAAAAAGTACTATTAGTCACAATAATTAATAATTCAAAATGTTTAAAAGATCTATGAAAAATTTACGGTCAAAGATAGACTTGTTTGAATCTCGAAATTTGAAAAGTGCCACATAAAATGGGACGGAGGGAGTAATATATCTATTTTGGGACGAAGGGAGTAACTTAAGAAAATAGATTATTGAACTTTGTGATATGTGTATAGATGTTAAAAGTTACTCATGAACATAGGCGAAACCAAAATTAGGAATTATTAGGAATTTGGGGTTCTAAAAAAAGAGAAACTTTTAATTTTTATTTGATAGCAGGTTTAAATCCACAACCCTAGCGTGAAATTGTGCGCTCCTAATTTCAGCTTCCATTTCTATGGACATGACATGACACGACAAGTCGAGGCCCACCACTTTTGTGGGCACCAAAACGAGGAATTCAGGCAATGCCTCATTTACGACAGGCCTGATGCCGATGGTCGTCTAATTGGGCTCGAGTACATTGTATCGGAGGAGTTGTTCTTGACATTGCCAGACGACGAAAAGAAATTTTGGCATTCCCATTTGTACGAGGTGAAAAGCGGTGTCCTCTTCATGCCCGGTGTTCCAGGCCCGATTCAACGACAAGATCATGAAAAAACCGTGAAAACTTATGGCAAAGTGATACATTTCTGGCAGGTTGATAGAGGTGATACACTTCCTTTGGGAATTCCTCAAGTTATGATGGCGCTTACTAGAGATGGTCAACTAGATCAGAACCTTGCTCAAGGTACATAAAAATCATTAATTCTATTATGATTATTTTATATGTTATTAATTACTTTTGAAGTGATCTAATGGTATATAGAACTTGAACTCGTTATAATTATATAGGTTGTTAGTATAAAACATTAATTAATACCTACACTCCCAATAGGAGTAGCTCCGTTTGCTAGACACAGCTCAAAAAAACAAGTCTTAGACGATTATTTAGTTAGAAAATCATCTAATAGAGTTTTAAATTGTCTTAACTAGGAGTAGCATGAAACAATTTTAAGTTAAATTTTTTCTGAATATAGATAAAAATGACCCTTTCTTAATTAGGAAAACCTCAATATATAGTTCAGGGATTTGATTTTCCACGTTGTAATCGCCTCCTTATTTCCCTTTTCCGTTTTAAACCTCTTTCGGATAGGTTTGGAAGGGATAGTGTGTGATACATGAATTTGGTGTCGAGTAGTTTTGAGTCGCCCTTTCTTTGGAGAATTTTAATAGTTTAATTAATTGGTTTGACTATTTGATTTATCTTACATGAATTTGGGTGTTAGGATTATGTTTTAGTCTTAATAGTACGTTTATTTAACTTGCGCGATAGCGTTTTTACGAGGTTTTTAAAATTTGATGTAGATGTGGAGAAACGTTTTGGTGTGTCATTTGATGAAGAAAGGGAGAAGAGGGCATACATGGAAGGTCCTGCCCATGGGATTCACCCACTTGCTAATGCTGGAGGCAAAGGCATTCGCACTCTCCTTAGAGAAGTTGATTGTAAACCTATCGAATCTGTCCCTAGAGTTTTTGTTTAATCTCCGACCGCGAAGTCGCGTTCGATTGCTCATATGTTCATCTCGTTTTGGCTAGCAAAGTCATGTTCGATTGCTCAAATATTTATTTCGTTTTGGCTAGCCAAGTCGGATATCGTCTAGTGTTTTGTTCAACTTTTATTTTTCACTTTTGTGATATATAGGACTTGTATATATATATATATATATGTTGGCGTGTGTGGATATACTATGTTGATGAATGAATAATTCTCTACGTTCTTGTGTTCTTTAAAATGAATCTATTTTACCACGTGTCAATTTATTAAGAATTTAAGAATTTTTTTTTCCTGAAATGAATTGAAATTTTACCAAAAATCTGAAGAACTTCAGATAATGAAATTGGATCCTCGTGAAAGAGTTTAGATAACTAACAAATTGAAAATTCAATAATTAACCAATTGTGGTATTTTCTTTTGGAATAAAATGTGATCCTCATCAATAAAATGAAAATTTAGTTAGTCGATAAAATTGAGCTACTAGAACTTCTTTCCTTACTGAAATGTACTTGATTCTCTTTCAAGGTTGTTTTTTCTTCTAATCTTCTACAAATTTCACAATTGTCAATGTCTATATTAGGTTGATAAAATTATTACAAGCTAGACATTTAAATTAACTCATTTTTGAAAATGTAATATGAAGATATGACTCCAAATCAAAGTTTAGATTTGAGATTAATTTCAAATTTCATTTTTTTTTTAAAAAAACATGATTTGAAATTTCGACTGAGCTACTAAATTACCATAGCGCTTACTTAATTCCATGATTATTAAGTTATAAAATGGGCCTCCTATATTCTTATTTTTAAACATGGGCCGGACCCACAGGGAAGACTTGAGGATATAAAGTTTTGATGAGGACTATTATTTTCTCCTTTTCCCTTATATGTACTCTGCTCTCTCCTCCTCCTTTTTCTGTATCATAGAGTATATATATAAAAATAATAATAGAGACTTCATAATTCCAGTCTATTGAAAACTCGAATTATTGGCTAGTAGAAGGTCTCTCAATTATACTTTTCTTCTGCTATTCTCTACAATTCTCTCATTTTTTACTGATCACATAATGATTGACCTACTAAAAATGTACTAGTTTTAACTTTAAACTTCTTATCCTATAATAAAGATCATTTTCCTGTGGCAGATATTGAAAGACATGAATAGAAATGTTGCTCATAATTAATGAAACTAATATTCCAAGTGTTGAACTTGCAGGAATTTTCTACGAAAGATGGCTCGAAACGACAATGAGGATATGTTAGATCAGCTAAGAAGGATCAAGAGTGGAGGCGTTCTGAATAGCGTCAAGATTGATCAAATTGTGATACTTGAAGTGGAGATAAGATTTTTAAGAACCTTTATCAAGTGAAATCATGTTGTTTCTCCTGATTCCTTAGTCAAAATGACAAAGATTGCCCAGTTGATTATGGAAAAGGTTCACTCAGTATTTGATGGAATTCCAGACGAATACAAAAATAACCATAATCTTGAAAGGGGAGTGTTAACGCTGCTGGAATCCGTTCAAGGCAATACTAATTTAAGGTATAATTATGAGTTGAATGATTCAGATTTGTCGGAATATATGGGTTGCCTCGACAAGAATCTGATGATGATGTGCCTGCAATGGGGTAGCTTGTCTGACCCTTCTTGGACGAATGAAGAAATACTTGTGAGAAATCGATTTACAAAGAAACTGAAAATCATTCGAAGGAAAATGGGATTTTTGAGATACATATATGTCTCAGAGATAATTGGTTACATTGATCACGAGAAGTTGGAAGGTTTGCAGGCCCGAATTCAGTTCATGGCTGACAATGTAGGACAGTTCTGTCTTGCTCTTTGGGTTGCAGTTGGTACAGATGATATCTTGAGTAAACCTGATTATCTATTATGTTTGATTGTGTTAGTGGAGCTGGAAATGAAGAATATTTTTCTCGGTGAACTAAAGGCTTCAAAGTATGCTAAATCAAGAACTTTCAAGGACAAGAAATTACCAAAAGGATTTTCACATCATCTCCACAGTCTGCTGGTGTATCTCAGAAACAAAAAGATCGAGAACTTCCCTAATAATGTCTCTTCTCGAAATATTGATGTAACTATAGAATTCTTGTTGGTTTTCCTTATTGATGATGGGTCAAATCATGTTATTAGTGGTAACTGGTTGAATGAGGTTATGGAAAAGGTTGGAGCTATAGCGGGTGATGTTCTATATGTAATTCAAAAGCTTCTTCCTAGATCTATAAACAAAAATGACACTAGCAACATAAATGTTTGTTCGATACAGATATTGGAGAAAGTTGAAGATTTGAAGGCACAAGTGGAGACTTACTACAAATCCTTAAAATTCACTTCGTCTCAGTTCCCCATTGTTGGTGGATTGAGCTTTCTGGATTCTCTTTTAAGAAAATTGCATGATATGTTGGAAGTCTGAATCAAGTTTAGTTTTCATGATGAAACATGGTATTGGTATGTGTATTTTGTACAAGAGAACTTTGTAATAAAGGAGGATATGTGGGGAATCTAAAGCAGGATCTACGCGCATCTAATGTGTATTTTAGTATCTACGTGCATCTAATGTGCATCTAATATGTATTTTAGTATCTATGTGCATCTAATGTGCAAGAGTTGGTTAAAACTTGCAGGAATTTTCCACTTCATCTACAGAATATGGCTCAAAGTGACATTGACGATGTGTTAGATCACCTAAGAAGGATAAAGAGTGGAGGCCATCTGAACAGCGTCAGGATTGCTGAAATTGAGACACTTGAGATGGATCTAAGATTTTTGAGAACTTTTCTCAAATATGATCATGTTCTTGGCCCTGATCCCTTGGTCAAAATAAAAAAGAAGGCCAAATTGATTATGGAAATGCTTGTTTTTGGTGGAGTTCCAGATGAATGCATCACTAATATTAATGTGGAAAGGCAAGTATCACAGTTGCAGGAATTCATTGAAGGTAATACTAGTTCAGGGTTGAATTATGAGCTGGATGATACCTATCTGTTAGAATATATGGATTACCTCGACAAGAATCTAATTGATGCACCGAGGTATCTAGTCAAGTCTGACCCTTTTTTGATAAAAGAAATCAAAATACTGGAGAAGACGGATAGATATTTAAGGCAATTGATCTTCATTCAAAAGAAAATGAGGTTTCTAAGATACCTGTATGGCACTGAGATAAATGGTTACATCGACCATGAGAAGTTGAAAGGTTTGCAGACCCGAATTCAGTTTATGGCTGAAAATGTGGGACAATACTGTCTTGCTCTTTGGGTTTGTGAGGATGAAAATGATACATATAATATCGAGAGTAAGCCTCCTTATCTACTATTCCTGGTTGCGCTAGTGGAGCAGGAAATGAAGAAGATTTTTCTTGGTGAACTAAAGACTTCAAAGTATGCAAAATCAAGAACATTCAAGGAAAAGAAATTACCAAAAGGACTTTCGCATCATCTACACAGTCTGCTGATGTATCTTAGACAGACAAAGCTTAAGAACTTTGTCTCATCTCGAAAGATTGATGTGGCAATAGAGTTCTTGTTGGTTTTTCTGGGTGATGTGCCAAATCATATTATTAATGGCAAGAGGTTGAATGAAGTCTTAGCAAAGATTGGAGTTCTTGTGGACGACATACTATGTGTAATTCAAATGCTTCTTGCGGGATCTACAATCAAAGAAGATGCTAGCAAGATTGATCTTTGCATGATACACATATCGGAGAAAATTGAAGATCTAAAGGCACAAGTGGAGGAGAGGTACAAATCCTTAACATACAGTCCATCTAATGAGTTCCCCACAGTTGGTGGATTGAGCTTTCTTGATTCTCTTCTAAGGAAATTGAATGAGATGCTGAAATCGGAATCAAGTTTAGATTTCATGATGAAGCCCCATATTTGTATTTTAGAGGAAGATCTTTCATATCTAACATCTGTTTTCAGAAATGTCGCAAAGGTGCAGCATAAACATGATGAAATTCTTAAAGATCTTCAGAGGCGTACTGTCAATTTGGCATATGAAGTTGAAATATCTATCGACTCTATTCTTGTTCAGTACAATGCTCTTTGGCATTTGTTTTGCTCACTTCCTGCAATCATAAAAGAGATCAAGCATATTTGTGTGGAAGTGATGGAGATGAGGCTTAAGAACCTTCCTCTTAAGCACTTCTCTGTGGTAGAGTCATCTAAGCATCTGCCAACTCAGCATAGCAATCCTGTGAACAATGAGGAGATGGTGAGTTTTGTGAATGAAGCAGAAAAACTGATTGACTATCTGACTCGAGGGACAAGAGAGCTAGATGTCATCCCAATTGTAGGCATGGGGGGACAAGGGAAAACGACTATTGCTAGAAAGTTGTACAATACTGACATCATTGTTTCTCACTTTGATGTTCGAGCATGGTGCATCGTTACCCAAACATATCATCGGAGAGAGCTATTACAAGTTATTTTTAGTCAAGTTACCGGTTCCAAAGACATGGGAGATAAGGATGACGAACTTGCTGACATGTTGAGGAAAAGGCTAATGGGAAAGAGATATCTCATTGTTTTGGATGATATGTGGGATTGTATGTCATGGGATGACTTAAGGCTTTGTTTTCCAGATGTTGGAAATAGAAGCAGAATAGTTGTAACAACTCGACTTGAGAAAGTGGGTGAGCAAGTCAAGTACCGTACTGATCCTTATTCTCTTCCGTTCCTCACAACAGAAGAGAGTTGCAAATTGTTGCAGAAAAAAGTGTTTCAAAAGGAAGATTTCCCGTGTGAACTACAAGTTGTTAGTCAAGCAGTTGCAGAAAAATGCAAAGGACTGCCTCTAGTGGTTATCTTGGTAGCTGGAATAATCAAAAAAAGGAAAATGGAAGAATCTTGGTGGCATGAGGTTAAAAATTCTCTTCTTTCCTATCTTGGTGAGTCTGAAGAATATAGTCTTTCAACTATGCAGTTGAGTTACGATAACTTAACCGATTGTTTAAAGCCTTAGTCTCTTCTTTCCTATCTTGGTGAGTCTGAAGAATATAGTCTTTCAACTATGCAGTTGAGTTACGATAACTTAACCGATTGTTTAAAGCCTTGCCTTCTTTATATGGGGATGTTTCTAGAGGATGCAATAATTCCAGCGTCTAAATTGATAAGATTATGGATAGCAGAAGACTTCGTACAGAACATTGAATCTGGGAGACTAATGGAAGAGGCAGCTGAAGGTTACTTGATGGAGCTCATTAGCAGTAACGTGGTAATGGTTTCAGATAGAGAATATAATGGTAAGGTCAAGTACTGTCAGGTTCATGATGTAGTGCTTCACTTTTGCTTGGAGAAGAGTAGAAAAGAAAAGAAAAGTTTATATTGGCAGTGAAGGGGCATGACAGCCAGTTTCAACCTTTTGAATGGAAGGAAAGTCGAGTGAGCTTCAGTTTCAGTAAACAGCTTTCCGAGTTTGCATCTATGGGCTCCAAAACGCGGAAGCCTTTCCACCAACACTTGAGGTCACTGATATCGACAAATCGACCAGAATTTTATGGTTGGAATCCCTTCCATCAGGTTAGTGAAGTGAGACTTCTTAAGGTCTTGGATTTGAGTTCTTGTCGTGTGAGAGCTTTGTCGTCAGTTACATTGAAACCACTAATTCACCTGAAGTACCTCGCAGTTAACACAAATAAATTCAATTTCCATCCAGAACCACATCTGCCCCATCTAGAAACATTAATTGTGGATGATTACATAAATCAGTGCTACCAGCGATCTTTTGGAAAATGAAAACATTAAGGCATGTTGATATTGGTACAGCAGAATTTGATTTAAAATGGGAAAACAATAAGCAGGGGATGTTTGAAGAATCCTCTAAATTGGAAAATTTGAGGATATTAAGGCGAGTTCGAATTGATGAAGGTGATAGGGTGGATGTGTTATTACGAAGGTGTCCTAATCTTCAACAACTTGACATTGTTTTAGTGGTTGATGATGATTCTGCAGAGATTTGTCTCAAATTGGAGAGTCTTACCCAGCTTCAAATAATTCGCCTTTCTTTTATCATGAAGATTCATGTAGAAACTTTGACTCCCTTCATTGCAGGACTACCAAGCCTTGAATATCTCGAATTAAGTGCGTTGCTTCAGTTTCGGAGGAAATTTCGTCCAGTAGAAGAGTGGTGCCTCGAAGGCATCACGTTCCATAAACTTAAGTTCTTGGAACTGGTGCACTTAGCTATTTCAAGGTGGGATGCCTCGGATGAATCCTTTCCCCTGCTTGAAACACTTGTTCTAAGTAAGTGTTACAAGCTCGAGGAGATCCCCCTTAGCTTTGCAGATATTCTAACACTGAAACAGATTAAGTTGATTTGGTGTGAAAACAAATCTCTGGAGGCTTCAGCAGTGAGAATCAAGGAAGAAGTCAAAGATATTGAAGGATGCGACCGTATTGACCTCATTATCATAGTAAGTAGAAACAAATTCTTATGTGCTGTTTTTGAGTATGTACATCTAATTTGATAACAATACAGAATCCAAAGCAGCTGGTGAATCAAGCATGTATCTGTAATTGCTTACACAACTGCAGACACTGTAGATGGAATTCATTTCTTAGCTAATAGTAGTTAAATTTTCAAGTGTGTTTTCAACACATAAAAAAGATTAATTTGTCGATTGTACTTTCAGGGAAATTGATCTACCTGATGCTCGTTTCGCATCAACTTTGGGATCAAGTTGTGATATGGAAGGCTCTTTTGGAGGCCAAGTGGAGAAGGCATTTTTAGTTCTGAGAAGAAAATAAATTCAGTAGGAATTCTTGTTTGATACAAAAGAGAATATATATAGGCTCAGGTCCTGGAAATTAAGAAACCTTTTGGTCATGTTTATGGTAAGCCAGATATATATGTTTTGCTTGTCTAAATTGGTTTCTAGAGTAAATTAAGTTGCTATGGTTGAAGGATCTCTTTATTATTATTATTATTATTATGTGTTCAGATGCCCATATCAGGATTTTCTTATAATCATCTAGTATTTCTTTATCTGAAGATGGTGATTTTTAGTGGTTTTAAACCATCTGGTTCTCTCTATCGATACAATAGTAACAACATACCTAATATACAGGAAAGCACTCCTTAACAAAGACGATTTTGTATCAAAGGGGATTCAAACCCAAGGCATATGGTTAAGGACGAAGGAATACTAATCACTCCACTACGACCCTCATTGGTAACACATTCCATTTACAAGGAAGATGTAGGGAAAAGGTACAAATACCCCCTAGACTATGACCAAAATCCCAGAGACACAACTTAACTAGACTAATGTCCTATTACCCCTGAACCGATGTTTTTTTTTAATTTGGTACACCATTTTGGCTTGTGGCATTAAAATATCTCCCACGCGTCTCAATTGTGTGGAGTCACGGTGTGCATATGCTAAACTAAAATGTGTACAAAATTACAAAAAAAAATGAGTTAAGGGATAATAGGACCTTAGTTTAGTTCAATGTCGGAGCTAGAAGTTTCACGAAGAGGATCCAAAAATTAAACAACAAAAGTTCTTTTTAAAAACGGAAAAAAATTGTTGCAAGTGAGTTTGAACCCGCAAGCACTGACTCATTAAAGATATATAAACACACATTCAAGACATCTTAAATCACTACGCTATAACAACCTATTATATCAAGGGTGTCCAAAATATATTATTTAATCATTTCGTGTGTCATTTTACTTGTATATGCGATATTTTTTCAGACTAAGGATGTCCAATTGGACACCCTGACATACATGTGCCTACGCCCATGGTTTAGTTAAGGTGTGTCTATGAAATTTCGATCATAATCTAATGGCTTAAGTCATCTGTGGCCCCTTAAAGTTGTCCGCGTAATTCACTTAAACACCTCAACTAGAACTAGTACCTATTGAACACTTTTATCTATCTAAAACCTGTTCCTATTAGACCTTTTTTGATAATCAGTAAAAAGGTAACGTGTGTGTGATACACTTGCTATGATGTGGCAAAAATGACTAATTAAAAGATGACATGTGTCACTTGACCCCAACAACTATAGATTTTATTTTTATTTTGTTATTTTAGTATCAAACTTAACTAGAAAAAAAAATATTAAAAAAATTATGTGGGGCGCCGAAAATGAAAAAAATTGTTATGCGGGGCAGGACAGATTAAAAAATTTGCGGGTTAAGTTAAATTCACCCCGCCCCACACCACCCCATTGCCATCCGTACCACCATGTGTTGTTTATTTTAGGCTTAGGTCATCTGCGGCCCCTTAAAGTTGTCCGCATAATTCACTTAGACACCTCAACTAGGACTAGTACCTATTGAACACTTTTATCTATCTAAAACCTGTTCCTATTAGACCTTTTTTGATAATCAGTAAAAAGGTAACGTGTGTGTGATACACTTGCTATGATGTGGCAAAAATGACTAATTAAAAGATGACATGTGTCACTTGACCCCAACAACTATAGATTTTATTTTTATTTTGTTAAAAAGAATGAAAATTATTTCAAATAAATTTTATATCTATTTCTTAATAAAAAATAAATGAAATGACAACCCATTTTACTCAACCCCACCCTACCCAAGCCCCCTTTGTTCTTCATCTTCTTCTCATCAATTTTTTTTTCAAACCACAAAAACCTTCACTGAAAATTACTTGCAGATTCGATTTTTTAAAAAAATAAAAATTGTATTCCTAATATGTGAGAGAGAAAGATATTCAAAGAGATTGATACAATAGTGATAAAGAAGTTTGTCAATGGTTACTCATCCGAAAATTGATTGCAAAGAAAAATCGAAAGGACCCAAATTAATTTATCGAAAATTATTTTTCATTCCTAATACATGATAGAGAAAGACATTCAAAGAGTTGGTACAAGAGTGATGAATAAAGGAAGTATGCTAATGGTTAATCATCTTGAAATCGATTGTAAGGAGAAATCAAGAGGAACTAAATTAATTTAGCGAATTATTTGATATTGTTTTTGATAAGTTTAGTGAGTTTACAATTTTCTCGGAATGGTAATATTTATTTGAAGGTGACCGAAAATGGAGATGGAACGTCGACTTACTTTTTTTATCCCAATGTTCAAAAATCTACTTTCGTTATTTTTCTTGCAAATTCAGTTACTTGATTCAATTTTTTTTATGAATATTGAAAAAAAATGGAGATTCTTTAGTTGTCTTTGAAAATTTAAATTTGGGGAAGAAGATGACTTGAAGGGGTAAGGGTGCTCTTTCTTTTTTGAATTAAGAATTTATTTTAAAAATATTAAAAGATTATTTTAGTTTATTTAAATGCCAAGTGTCAATTAAAGAAGAAAAAGTGCAAGTTGTTTTGGAAAAAATAAAAATAAAACAGTATTTCAAAAACTTTCACGCGTCCATAGGAAGTGAAAAATACTTATTTTGCCATATCAACATTTTGTGTTTAGTAGATAATTTTTTGAACAATTTAAATGTTCAATAGGTAATAGTCCTAGTTAAGGTGTATAAATGAAATATGTGGACAACTTTAAGAGGCCGTGAATGACTTAAGCTTAATTTAATTGGTACTTATGTGTTATCCCGAAAGATGTATGGATGAATTATCACCACTTCTTTTTTTAATCCCTGTTTGAGATCTCGATGACTATTCTTAGTCTAATAGTTCTGACATTATTTGGTCAATAAAGGCATGTGAATTTCAATCTATTTTAAAGATAATCTTACACCTACCACCTAAATCAACTTGCTGATACAACTTGCCTTTTTCTAAATATTAAAATCTGACTCATAAGTTAATAATTTATACATATATAAAAAGGAGTCATCATTTTAAATTTTATAGATATACTCATATTCGATTTGAATTGATTGTCCGTACCAAGTGAAAGTATTAACTTAAAGAATAATTATTTGTTACTATTATTGTTGACTAGTGGATCTTTATAAATTTATGTGCATTTGAAAGTTTGTAATCGTGAATATTTATTTATAAAAGAAACATGAAAATATGTAATTCATCAATGTGATGCTTTGGGATATTTTGATATCTTGTTTACGAATGATGATTTACTCATTCGATAAGATTGCTTAAGAATTAGATAACTTTTGATAGTTTTCACATCTTGTGAATTTTCATATTTATGAGAAAAAATAACTTCATGTCCGACCCAATACCCCATAATTATATGGTAAACAAATATCAAAATAGTTCATAGTTTAAGTATGAAATTAGCAAATCGGACATAATTTTGGGGGATTTTCCTCAGGAGTCGTTTGGTGTGAGGTATAAAAATTCCAGAATAAAATGTATGATTATTTTATTATGTGTTTGATTGGAGGTATTAGATAGTCCTTAGATTATTTATCCCAATATTTATACATTAGTGATGGGATAAATTATCTCATATACATGTGGAATAACTTATTGTGAGATAATTACTCTCGAAATAACTTGTTCCCGACGAATCAACCCCTTAAAAAAAAAAAGGACAAGTAATATAGTTGTTTTATTGGGCACTTTACAGCTACCACCTAAAGCAACTTGCTACTACAATTCATCTCTTGTTAGGTATAAGAATTATTAGAGAGAAAAGAACACTCTTCCTTCTTACTTCAAATCTTCAAACCTTCATTCATTTTATTTCAATGAATTTTTTTCCAATTTCACCTATTACGTAAACTCAGAAATATTACTCTTGATGATCAAACCTGCTTTCAATATTAATTATCATCTCTTTTGCTCCTTTTTTTTTTTTTTATGAATGGGCCTCAAGATTGAAGATATTTATTAACAAACTGTAAGTCATCTTCTTCATGAATTATTTTTTTCCTATAGATACAGAATTAGAGAGTTGATTTCTCAAATTTGTTTACTCAACTATTAGTTAGTATCTCATAAAATTGAAAATGTAAGAAAGACGATTTTCTGAGATAATATGTATAACTTTTCACAAGCATTAACATAGCTTCAAACACTAGATATATTGAAAGACATGAACCTAATTCCATGAGTTGGTGAACTTGCAGGAATTTTTCTACAGAAAATGAATGAAAATGAAATTGAGGAAATGTTAGATCACCTAAGAAGGATCAAAATTGAAGGTAACCTGGATAAGTTCGAGATTTGGGATATTAAGCAACTTGATATTGTGCTAAGAATTTTTAGAACCTTTATAAAGTATCATGTTCTTTTACCTGATTGTTTAGTCAAACTCACAAAGAATGCCAAACGGATTGTGAAATTGCTTCATCGGGTATTTGATGGGATTCCGGATGAATGTAAAACTAACCTTAATCTGAAAAGGCTAGAATCACATTTGTTGGAATTCTTTGAAGGTAACTCCAGTTTAAGTTACAATTATGAGTTGAATGATTTTGATCTGTCGAAATATATGGATTGTCTGGAAAAAATTCTAAATGATGTACTAATGATGTTCCTGGATAAGAGTAGGTCCTATCATTTCAAAAAAAAACTTGCAATGCATCTATCTATAAAGAAACTGAAAATTGTTCAAAAGAAAATGAGCTTTTTGAGATACACTAGTTTCTGAAATTAATAAAGGCAAAGGGAAAATATATATATCCACAAAAATCTACTACATTTTGAATTTCTCTCTTAATCACCTTCCACCTCCGATAATCAACATCTTATAACCTTCATTTATAGCGTTGTTCTTCTGCACGCATAAGAAAAATAATTGTTCGATACACAAAATACAAGGCCTAAGCATTATCTGATATTATTGAAGGGTTATCATATACAAAAAATAGATTGATTGAACATATACAATATTATGATTAAAAAAATGATTCTCGATAGGAAGATGATAGCTAGGTATGATCTAAAACATGAAAGTTTAAGCTCTAACAAAATAAGGGGTAAAAAATTAAATGGAAGAAAGACAAATGTAACACATTTCCGGATGATTAAATTACATAACATA